CGTTGTTTAAATTGTTGAATTTTTAGACATTATCCGTCATTCTGTTTTTCATTTATGATGCAGTTAGCCCCTGCTCCGGAGATAAGGACAACCTCTGCTGATAAGACCCAAATAAATTGAATATTTGATATGATACAAATTCCGTCCCAAGTGCAAACAATATATTATGTGTCCTTGATCTTGCTCCTCTACACTACATGTTTCGGCCTCAGACGGCCATCATCAGGTGTATAACACTCACGTCGCTGTCACACTGCACTCAGCCCAAAATTTAACATTTAAAACGCTTTCCTTGTTATTATCAAAATCTACTTCGTTGATATCCGTCTGGATGTAGATTATTTTATACACGTTAATTTTGACGTGCCTGTAGTAGCACTATAAAATCTTTAGTTCTAATTTTAAAATCCTTTAAAATTTTTTCTCTAATTTTAAATTTAAAATTGTTAGGGTTACTCGCCCTATGTCTAAAGTGCTGCAGCGGCTAGTTCTTGTTCCCACACTGTATAGGTGTTATCTTGTGTAGTCTTCCTGTGTGTGTGCCGCTGTTATTCTTTACTACGTGTCATTTGTATCATATCATTTATCGTATGGAGTGCAACAGGATGCTTAAATATAATATTGTAAATTGAATATTTACCTGAGGATGGAGAGAGAGAGTCCAGTTTCAGAAATGTTGTTTAAAAAACACGACAAAACTCAATGTCCAAAAATTCAATAATTTTATTAATATACCATTGTCACGAACTTCAAATCTTATGTATACAGCCATTTTTTTTTTCCTTTTGGCTCTACAGCCCCAATCTGGGCCTTGGTTTACCTCCATGAAACTCTCCGTTTCACTTCGGTTTACTAGATCTTAGACATTCGGTAGGACCCCTTGGGCGGATAATCAGCTCGTCGCAAGGCCTCTACCTGTATACAAACACAGAAAAACGCACACAAACAAACACTAAACATCCATGCTCTGAGTGTGATTCGAACCCACGATCCCCGCTTTCGAGCGAAAGAAGACAGTGCATGCCTTAGACCGTACGGCCACCGTGACCGGCGTGCAATCATTTACTTTAAGAAATTTTATATATTGGGCCCCTATTCTCTAAGAATATATAGACCCCACTGTAATTCAATTGGTAGAATTATTGTAATTTCGCCTTCCGGGCACGGACTATCTGAAGAAGCGTTGCAAATTTTTGAACTAAAAATCAGAATACAAAACTTCGACGCTCAGCAGTTTAGGGTTCTCGAGTTACTGCCAAACTCATGCTTTCTAACGGCTACCTCTTGAGTTCTGAATGGAACGATCATCTGCAAAGCTGCTCGTCGACCACGTGTTTCATTAATGAGCTGAATGTGTCTGATTGTGAAGGCTTTTCTTTCCTTGGCACTACAGCCCCAGTGGACCTAGGCCTACCTGCATGAACTTCTCCGTTCACTTCGGTTTTTCTAGATCTTACACATTCGGTAGGACTACTTGGGCGGCTGATCAGCTCGTCGCAAGGCCTCTACGTGTACACAAACACAGATAAACGCACACACACACAAACTAAACATCCATGCCCTGAGTGGGATTCGAACCCACGATCCCGGTTTCCAAGCGAGCGAACACACTACATGCCTTAGACCGCTCGGCTACCGTGACCGGGGATTGCGAAGGCTATCGGTAGGATTTGTGTGATTCATTAAACGGAAGACATGAGGGGAGGAGCAATGGTGCCTTGTTTTGATTTCATGCTTTTATTTGCTTTGAGAATCTGAGGAAAATCATGAAGACCCTTAGTAGTATAACAGGTCGTTGTGTGTTCGGAAACGTCCCCTGGAACAACTCTCATTGAGAGTTTAATAACACTCACCTAATTAGTTCGCAACTTAATTGACAGTAAGCTAGCGTAATATAGCTTCAGTTGAAGATACATTCTCAAAATATCTTGCGTTTCATAAGAAAAAAGAAAATCTGATTCGACTTCTGGGTGTAAATATAAATACCCACCTGATTTAGCATTATAAATCTCGGAAATTTGTTCTCTCATTGTGTTTATGAGTCTCGTACGCTTCTTTAAAAAACAGATCATTCCCTAAATACCAGCAAGTAAAGCGTGCTCCCCCTAAATACCAGTAAATGATTTATATTTGTAATGAATACGCAGTGTTTTCTATAAAGTAGCAAGTCAATTTTTAAATATTATTTACATTAATTTCATTTTTCACCCTAACGGAGCCATCCTCACATTAATATCGAAATGGTAGAAAGTAATAAAGTACGTTTTCAACTTTTTCTCTTCACTTTACCTATATTCAAATTTATCTTTACCATAAGGACGAATGGACACTGCTTGGGAACCTTCAAAGCCGGAAGATGTTTGTTTCAGCTCTAAAATGTAGTACATCTCACTGTTCTCCCTTCCACTTCCTCTCCTCCCTCTCTTCTTTCTACTTCAAAGGGTTAAAAATGGACGTTATTAGCAGCCACTCTCGTTATGATGTGATATAAAGTCAGTTTTATGCCGTGTATACAAATATATCACAGAAACTAGGTTACCTGGTCGCTTACAACTAACTCGTTGAAGCCTTGAATCCTGTCACATCAACAACCGGCTGCTTGTCACGTGGTGGGTATCTCGACACAGCTGTTCCGTACAGCTTGCTAATGGTTCAGCAGACTGCAATATCGAACTACGCAGACGTGACATGGACACGGCCTCATGAACAGAAACACGTGCGATGAAATGAATGCATGAAATTTGGGCTCGAATCGGACCAGGGACAATCAGTCTTCAGTGTTATAAATGAATACACATCTGTACTCTGGTTTCTAAACATGAAATGATAAAAAAATGGTTTACAGTAAGAATTATATAACTTACCTCCAAATGTAAATTAAATTAAATTCGCTTAGTGGGGGGTGGAGTCCAGCTGGGTCCACTCGGCACGGCGGCCACTGATTGGCCTATTGTAGCCTGCCCCCGGTGATTATGATGGAGAATTTGGTGGAATGAAGATTGGCAGGGGAAACCGAAGTACTCGGAGAAAATGCGCCCCAGTGCCACTTTGTCCACCATAAATCCCACTTTACCAGACCCGCGGTGGGAAGCCAGCGACTAACCGCTTGAGCTATGGCGCGGCTTACCACCAAATGTAAATAATACTTTAGGACGAGAATATTTCAAATTTCTAAACAAAAGGAAGCCATCATACCTTGAGCACTAAGATCAAGAGTTACACAGCATTTTCTTCTGTGGTCTAATTTTCACATTACCTGGCTAAAGATCCAAAGGTCCGGGTTCGATTCCCGGCGCTACCAGATTTTCTGAGAAGTAGTGGGTCTGGAACGGGGTCCACTCAGCCTCGTGAGGATAACTGAGGAGCTATTTCAAGGAAATAACAGCTCCGATCTAGAAAACCGAAATTAACGGCCGTGGAGATTCGTTGCGCTGTCGACGCAACACCCTCTATCCGCTAAAGTTGACACTAACTTCGCCTATAAGCAGCGGTCGCTCGGTCGGTATAGTTCGCTTGCGGACTAGAACAAGGGAGTTTCTTTGTTTCATCCTGTGTAATATTAAAAATAATGTTATATCCGTTTATATATATATATATAATTTTTCTAAGCGTGGCATTTTTCCATTACGCAATTTGGATTTACTATATCAATTAACTGTCGGGCGTTAACACATTATATGGACGGACGCTCCATATTACGTTACGAAGTAGAGAACAATTTTTTATTTCTATGTATCGTGTCTATTTTGTGAGTAGTGGTATTATTTTGATGTGGATGTGTGAAGTATAATATACGTACGCCTTAGTGCGTCAGCCGATAGTTTGTAGAATTGGAAAGGAACAGATAAGAAAATAGGCTAAATTAATAATAAAAAAGCTTATTTAACAAATTATGAGATTTCTCACTGCATTCCGAATGGGTGTTACACTAGTAAACCATAAAGAAGCTGTACCCCTTTACTTAACCTGCTACTGTCTTTAGTCACAGTCTTTAGTAGACTTTCTTTTTTAATTCTTAAACCTTACCTATATAGATCATTATTTAAGGAAAATGTGAAAGATTTTAACTTCGAAATTTAATACGTTTCTTTGTTCTATGTAGGTGTTTACTCGGAGTCGTTATTTACGTGTTTGCAGCAAATTTCATTCAATAAAATGACTGTATTTTTTCAATCTTTAGAAATCTCCTTTAAAAATGTTACCGCTTCCCTTTTCTAGGAAGAATGTGGAGGCAGATGTTTGGTGATCATATATATATACTGCTTCAAAATTGGCCAGTATTAGAGAATGATTTTGTAGGCTTTTTAAGTTTCCTTGAAGATATGCACCCATATATTAATAAGCATTTATACACAAAAAGGTCTCTGGTATTTCAATAAGAAAGATAAAAAACATCTGATCCAAAGCTCGGTACTGAATTCAGTACTGTGCAGCCAGTTTAATCCTTCCTATACCACTAGAATTTTGAAATGCATTTAGAAGTTATCATTTTATCCTTGTCTCGGCCTTCCAGATATGAATATTCCAGCAGGTTTTCTCAATAAAATTGTATAGGAATGTCTTGTTTCTCCCATCCTAGCATCGTTCCCATCACATAGTACCCTCTTCCTTCTACCATTAGTTCGAACGCTTTCAACTAGACAGAATTACCGGAAATGAATATGCCAGTAACATAATTAAAGCAGAAAATTTAGCTGATACTCTCTCAGATTTTTCCAAATGAACTGGAATGTATAATCCAATGGATTATACATGCTGCATCGAATTTTTTATTCACAGATCCACTTCGGGGCATCGGGTGAATTTATCTGTGGCCGTCCTCCCTACGTTCTGCGCACTATATCCCAAGTGTTCGACATGTCATTCGAAAGACGCATTAGTCCTATCCATGCCAAGGCAAACTTTAACTTTGGCAACAGTTTCAAACTAGACAGAAATAACTTTTCAACAGTATCAGAGTGGAGGGCATTTTGTGAAAATTTTCTTTTGCTTCCTTTCAGGTCCGCTGATGGCGTGATGTGTGACATCCTGAACAAACTCATGTTGCAAGTATGCACACAGCAAAACCAAACACCAACAGCAGCATGTTCGTACTTCCATCATACTATGGAAGTGACACGGACAACCCAATAAATTGTACGTGAACATTGGCTCTCTGTCCTTTTTGCGTGTGTACTGATGTTAAATTAGGATAAAAGTAGGCAGGAAGAGAGCGTGTCAAAGTAGTGTTTCTAAGTTCCTTAACTATTTCAAGTTACTTCCGTATATAACTCTACTAAGTGCCCTGCAGGAAAAGAAACCTTAAAACTACCCTCTACAGTTTATCATCTAACAAAATATGTGACCTACACAGAGGATCCAGAAGAACAAATCGTTTGCACAATTCTGAGCTTAATTCTACGTCGCCTGTAATTACATATAACTGTGTAATCATAGGATTAAGAACTTTCTCTCTTAAGAACTTTATCCAAACCTTCATCTCTCAGAGGATGTTTTTGTTTACTTTGCATATTTCTTGCTACATAGACACGAGATGAAAATGTGGCAGTTATGTCGAGACCTCGGATAAAGTCACGTGTAGCAAGTTCCTCTGGCCTTCCAGCTCGAAGCGACACGAGGCAGCTCTCAGGTATACTAATCTCCCTTAAATATATAAACATACAGTGGAGAGACCATGAAGACTGAAGGGCCAGTAAGTGTATTCCATAACACTTGAAGATGCTGACATAGTACAATATTGTCAAGTGAAGAACTGCACAGCATGACAGCATATCATCGTGTTCTAGTGCGTTCTACTCTCCATCAGTGATGGCTACATTGATTCCTCTAGAGACTTCTCTGCGGGGAAACCATACCGAATTGCTCGTCTCCGCATCACACGACACTGGATATGGAGGCATAGCTGCTAGTCATACTCAGACCATGCATCGTTACATTGACAATATGACGTCACGCGTCTCCCCGCGTCTCTACTCGGAACCTCTAGCTGTCGCTACTGCCGTTCTTTTGGTATTCATTCTGTCGCCCATGATACTTTGCGGCAACTCCCTTATTCTTACGGCGGTATATAGGTTTAAAAGACTAAGGACTCCTAGCAACTACCTGCTAGCCTCTCTTGCCTCTTCCGATCTGGGTGTAGGGTTGTTCTTGCCTGTGGGTATGTACCTGGAACTTACGTCCTCGAACAGTGACAATGTTCGAGAGACTATCAACGTGGGACTATGTCTCGTACCGTATTGTTTGGCCATTTCCCTGTGTAGTGCGTCCGTGCTTGTGATGGCAGCCATAGCTGTGGACAGATTCACGTCTTTAGCGCAACCTCTGAGGTACAACAATCTCATAACACACACGTCTGTGGAGAGATACATAGTCGCGTTCTGGTTGTATGCGCTTCTAGTCGGATTTTCGCCTTTAGTTTACAGCCAGTGCATCGCAGCGAGTGCTTCCTTACACGTGCGGAACTGTTCCTTTGGCTCCGTCGTATCCACCCCTGTTCAGCTGTTTCTCTTCTGTTCCGTGTATGGCCCCAGTGCCCTCATACTACTGGTGTGTTACTGTTACATCTATGTGGTGGCCAGATACCACGCCAGGGCCATCTACTCGGTCGAGCTCTCCCTCAGGCAGCACCAGGACGGCGCTCACTCTCGCTATGGACAGACGCTGGCAATCACGGTGGGCCTCTTTCTCTGCCTGTGGCTGCCTTTCCAGGTATCTAGTTTATTTTCTTCTTGGTTTCTTGACGTGGGGTGAGGCTGAGTCTACTTGGTACGTGGGCCACTAATTGGCCTATTATACTAGCCTCGGACGATAAACGATGATGATTGTGGAGCAGTCGATGGAATGCGAACTGGCATGGGAAACCGAAGTACTCGGAAAAAACCTGCCCCAGTGCCACTTTGTTCACCAGAAATCCCACATGACCTGACCCGGGCTCGAACCCAGGCTTCCGCGGTGGGACGCCAGCGACTAACCGCCTGAGCTATGGCACTGCCCTTCCAGATATGTACATAAGTTTACTAAGTTCACTGAGATATAGGTAGTTTCCTAAGTGACAGGTGCCACAGTAGGGGCCAAATAATGGAGCACGAATGTTTTCGGCAACGAATGGACAAAAGCGGTAGCGTAGTTGATTGAGGCACTATGCTACAAGCAGTAAGGTCTCGGGTTCGAATCCCGATGAGCTTACTGATTTTTTTTTAGTTAGTCTAACTCTTCCAGCCTCACTATGACTCTGGGTTCGACTCAGCCTCTAACAGAAATGAGTACCAGGAATATTCCTGGGGGGCTCAAGAGCGGCCGGCGGGTAAGGCTGACAACCTCACCGCCATCTATGAGCCGACTGTTTAGAAAATGTCGGAGCCTCGACATCTCACAGCCCTATGGGCCTTTACGGCCTGTTACAGGAATAGCTTTACCTTTTTATGGACGCAAGCGGCCAGATTTATTCTACGGCGTCAAGTAACTCCTGCCGCAGTAAAGGGGATTCCATTTACTCAATAAACAGGAAATCAGATGAACCCCAACTAGTCTGAATGAAGAGTACTATCACCTGGGATATCACGATGTGTAGTCTCTTGAAAGTCAACTGACGTTTAGCAGGAACATGTGGCCTTCATTTTCAGGGTCGAAGAATATGCTTGTTGCCTGTTTTAACGGTGGTTTCTTATTTGGATTATTCTTCGACCCTGAAGATGGGGAAATATTTTCCTTCGAAACGTCGGTTGACTTTCAAAGAACTACATGGCGTTATATCCCACAATATAGTTCTGTTCATAACCACCGCTGTGAAACATCAAATCCTGCCTAGTCTGAAGAAGGTGAAACAAAATATCCTTGTTGGCCGCGCCATAGCTCAAGCGGTTAGTCGCTGGCTTCCCACCGCGGCGGCCCGGATTCGATCCCGGGGTCTGGTCAAGTGGGATTTGTGGTGGACAGAGTGGCGCTGGGGTAGGTTTTCTCCGAGTACTTCGGTTTCCCTTGCCAAACTTCATTCCACCAATTGCTCCACAATCACCCTCACCTAACATCTGGGGCTGGTACAATAGGCCAGAAGTGGCCGCAGTACATGGGGACTTAGTCCCATCCCACTAGCATTAAAAAATATCCATGTTTATATCGAGCACTGATGACTCGTCCTGTAGACCTTCGTTTTACTGAACTGTTACAGGATTACATTATTATTGCTAGTATTTGTAGTAATATGAGTTGAGATATCTCAGTCGCTATGGGCTATATGGTTGGGATTCGTTTTCCGGTGGGGGCAAGAACTTCCCTTTTCTACAGCATTCAGACCTGCTCTGGCTCCCGTAACCTCCCAATCCCATCGGTACCGGAGGGAGTTCTTTCCCCGCGTTAATGCGACAAGGACGTGAAGCTGACCCATCACCTCCATCTAGCGCCGAAGTCAAGAATTATGGAGCTATATTTTCATTCCCCGTAAGTTTTCATTACATAGTGCTTAATTATTTAAGTATAAGGAAATTTTCCCTTGTTTTATCTGTAGTAATAGTGATAGTGGCAGTAACACTACTAGCAGCACAAACAGCAGTAATAAAAAGGTAAAGTTGTCCCTGTGCTTATCTAATTAAGGACCACGCCATGAAGGCGTATGGAAAAGTGGATGTATAGATCCAAACTTTCTGGGCCTCGGCACTAGTTTGACGTGAGTGGTCAGCTTCACGCTCCAGCCGCTTTATCCCCGAATAAAGAGACCCCCGAACCCATTGAACCCAGTACCATTGGATAGGAGGATGGGTGGGCCCCAGAGCCGGACTGGACAACGTGGAAAAGAGAAAATTCTTGACCCTACCAGGACTCGAACTCCGACCGCTTGGTCGTTCAGTCCGCAACCAGTCGCTATTAGTAGTAGTAACAACAACGGTACTAATAGTAGTATTATTATTGAGTTCTGTACGGAAAAACATGTACTACTACCACTGCTTACTGCTATAAAAATGCATTATTATTATTATTATATCTTTTATTACAATTCAGGTTGGTCTAGAACTAAACGCAGAAAAAACTGTGTGTGTTCGTGCCTCTTCAGCAGAAAGCGGAAAAAAGAAATCGTAATATAAATATAGGGCGGTTAATAAATCATTCGAAAATGTAGAACATTTCAGATATTTGGACATGACAATAACGTTGCGTTCACGTTGAAATTAAGAGCAATCTAATTAGGGGACTATGTAAGATTTGAGGCTTTCACGGCGGTGACTATGAAGAAAGCAGTTCTCTGGGATTTGGCACCGTGTATATGTGTTGTTAACCGATGTTTCGGAGGAACGTACCGCCTCCATCTTCAGGGTAGGAAAAAATATATAAGAAATCTGCAAGCGAAGAGACCGTGAGAACCGGTAAAAGCAGACTGAAGATGGAGGCGATACGTTCCTCCGAAACGTCGGTTAACACCACATATACACGGTGCCAAATCCCAAAAGACTGCTTTCTTCTTAATTAGGGGAATACTTGCCACCAGCCAATTCAGAACCCTTTGTCTTCACATCCCATAACTAAACACGAGCAGATTACTGTATACAAACTAAAATGTAATGACACTCAATCCCTCTGCCTGATGCAGGCTTATATACTGGATGCTGAGGAGGCTGTCTGGACCTAAGAGGGGGGGAAGGAACAGGATTCTGTGGGAGATTGCTTAATGAAGAGCTTTATAACTTGTACCCTCCACTGATTATTATTAAGGTAATCAAATCAAGGGTCGATCGCAGTGGCCGCGCGGTCTAAGGCATGAACTGTCTTCTCTCGCCTGAACCCTGGGATCGTGGTTTCGAATCCCACTCGGAGCATGGATGTCTGTGTACATTTATCCTGTGTTTGTGTTATTCTGTGTGTAGGTAGCGGCCTTGCGATGGGCTGATCCCCCGTCCAAAGAGTCCCAACGACTCTGTATAGGATCAGGAAACTGAAAAAAGCACCCAAGGTCCAACAAAGGGCTGTAGAGCCATAATTCAATTGAATTCAGCTCAATTCTTTCTTATTTATGTGCCGAGTCAACAGGTACAAGGCCAATTACAGACACAGCACAGTGTAGATACAAGTAATTATAGTATCGACATATTAATGCAGAAAAGTAAACAAAGATATAATAATAATAATAATAATAATAATAATAATAATAATAATAATAATAATAAT